CTTGTTGCGGCTTGAAATGCAGCCGTTGTATCAAGACGTGAAAATCTGTGATTTGGCGTTGTAAACAGAGCGAGGACAATGTCTAAATTATTCATATATTGTAATTTTTCAATTCTTTTTAATGATCTACAGGGTGTATAAAAAAAAACTGAACAGATTTGAATTTGCTCTCAATTTCGAAAAACAGCTATTAGTATCCAGTTTTTTTATATATATGGCTTCTTTGGGTACTTATAATGTTGAAAGTAATGAAAAATATTTCTCGAACTCAAATTTTGTAAACCAGGGGGGGGGGGGGTGTCTTTTCCAACAAACTAAAAATTGCTTGCGCACGAAATTTAAAACCATTAATCATATGTTGAGTTAGTAGATAGACAATTTGTTGGGTTTTTAATTACTGTACGAAATTGCAGACAATTTCCTTTAGTTTAAGCCCTTTAACTATTCACGCAAACTTACAATTTTCCCTAAAAATCAGCTATTTGCATGCTAATTAATGCCTTTGCCTAATTTGCATATTACAGCAATATGCAAAGTAGGTAAAGGCATTAATTAAGCATGCGAAAGGCTGATTTTGTAGGAAAAAATGAATAGTTAAGGGACTTAATGTAAAGCAAATTGTCTGAAATTTTGCACAGTAATTAAAAACCTAACATATTTTCCATCTATTAACTCAAAATATGATTAAAGCTTTTAAACTTCGTGCGCAAGCCGTTTTTAGTTTGTTGGAAAAGACACCCCCCCCTGGTTCACAATATTTGAGTTCGAGAAATTTTTTTCATTATTCTACATTATAAGTACCCAAAGATACTATATACATCAAAAACTGGATACTAATAGCTGTTTTGCCAAATTGAGAGCAAATTCATATCTGTTCAGTTTTTTTTATACACCCTGTATTGTTATTGGTAGCCGTTGCCGTCCTAAAATCGTAAGGTCTCTAATGCACAACGTTGTGGTACAAATGAACCTGCCTAGGTCATGAGCACTAGCAGTGTTTTATCAGATATAAAGATACGAGGCGAAGCCGAGTATCTTTAGGTCTGATAAAACACGCACTGCGAATATTTTAAATTGCTTCAAAACGATCGATCTAGCAAGTTCATTGGCGAACTAATTTTAAAAAAATACGTTGTGTAAGTCGAGAAAATCAAAGTTAAAGTTTATGTAAATCAAAGGAAATCTCTATCACATATAAAGATACGACATGCTTATATGATTTTTCTTTGTGTTTTCCTCATGAATTATCAATGAGTTTTTGAATATAGGCTACAACTTTTTACTAAATCGTGTTCTTTTTAAGTTTTCATTATTATACTACAAATTAGTAAGTTGGGTAAGTTTTCGAACAAACCGTTACAATTTTGTTTCAGCTCCTGAAGTTATAAGTTTTGACCCAATTCTTCTGGCAAGTGACATGTGGTGAGTACAATCTGTTTTATATTATCTACTTTGCATGGTATACGTTCTGAAATGATGGCAGAATGACATAATCATACAGTCAGGGGTATGACCAAAAGAAGGGTTATAAAACGGAGTTAAGATTTCGGAGAGTTCGTTTGAGTTTCCAATGACCACACTCAATTTCTTATTAATAACTTTCCCGATGTTATACCTTTCAACTAACATGCGAGAGTGAAATCTGTCGTAACTCTCTTTCGTCAAAACCTAAACATTTACGAGAGAGTTAACAGTACTTGCTTGTTTCATGGCTTGCCAGTCTCCTATATGTTTAATGTGAATGTTCCCTGATTACGTCGTATTAATTTGAAAAAAATCAAAATATTTATGTTTTAATCTTGCTGTAGATGGGAATGGATACAAAACTCATAATTCGTTCTAGTTGCTAACAAGCTTTTAACTTTTTATTCTAGTAATCAACGGCCGAAATTCAAAAAGTCCTGCCATAACAGAGAGGGGACCTAATGTCTGGTAGCGAGTTAACTTTATAATAATCAATTAACTCTCGCCTTGCTTTCCAACTATATATAGTATAATGTTCCGCAAAACTCGCAAATAATGGCCCCACCTCCTAATACTTATATTCATTCGTAAGCATTTTTTGATGGGCTTATACATGCGGGGGGGGGGGCTTATATATAGAAGGAGGGGGGCTATATACAGACGACATTTGATGTTCACGGTACCTTATATAACATCGAAAACCTTTCGCTTAAAAATACCAGTATTTTTGGATTAGTCCGAAGAATTCCGATGTCTGTCCCGCGAGACAAGCAGCTCGCACGATGTCTCCTAAACACATAACAACAGAGAGTTACGAAATGTTAAAGAGGCGGTTAAGTCTGTTCAGCGATTGTGCAGTTTGTTTACATTGTAACTCTCCGAAATCTTAATTAACTGTCCGATCTAACTCTCCCCTTCGTTTAGCCGTTCCCTGCTGTTGGTATTTGTTGTTAGGCTAGAAGTTTGTTGTGACTGTTTGTACTGCAGGGCGTTTTTGCGGTAGTGGTTCACAAAAGGAAACATAAATTATGGCACAAACTGAGAAAATGTAAAATGGTGGGATTTGCTATTGCATGCATGTATATTTTAATGCATCATATGTCTCATATAGCGGCAACGGCTTCCCGCATTTTGCGATCAGCTTAATTGCAAATTACTTTGTTTCCACTTGTCTGACAAGCGACAGCTTTCCATGGAGTTTAACATATGCTTTTAATTTCTCCTCTCTTATTATTGTAGGAGTGTTGGAGTGATCACTTACATTTTGTAAGTATGGAAAGAAACAATGGTGGAACTGCTCAAGTTTCAAAATTACTTTTTGAATATCTTTAAAAAAAAATTTAAAAATCCGGCTTTGAATAAATTCGTTCATAAATTTGAGTAAATATATTTATAAAATGTTAACAATTGCCTGCTAATTTTTTTGTTACTGTGGATGCATTATTGTACTCAAGTTTTTTAGTCAAAATACTCAGGGATTTTTGCAGTGTGATGGTATATACTTTACTTCATCATAGCTAGAGTAATTGGTATATACACTTTAAGTTTCCTTCCATATCATTTCATTGTGGTAATTTCTTTGATTCTTCACTTGCATTTCTATGACTTTTTAGACTGAGTGGTCTTTCGCCATTCATGGGTGATGATGACAATGAAACAATCAGCAATGTCTGTGCAGGAGAATGGGATTTTGACACTGAAGATAATTTCTTTGATGATGTCAGTCAAATGGCCAAAAACTTCATAACTGAACTTCTGAAAATGAATCCAAAGTGAGTTATGTAGGATATCGGGTTGATGTTGTATAGCAGAACCTCCTAACATGGACCTTAACGTGGACTCTATACAGCAATCATTTGAGATATTTTTAGTTCAAAATATAAACTTGTTTCGAGATCCATCTCTCAAGGGGTTAGCGGTGCCCGCAGCGAAAAACGGCGCTAAATGAGATAGACTAGATGAGATGGACGTGGATACCCCTAGGGCAGTCCTGAAGGACGGACTTGAAAAAAAGCTCTTTGAAGTTTTCTTTGACTATACGTTGCAATTATTCGAATCATTCACACTTAAATACCAGCCACGTCCTTACTATATTGGGCACTGTGGTCCATTCAAGGATTTCTATAGTCAGTGCTAGTTTAATTGATACCTTTAATTAGACTTGTTTCAAGTTGACTTGAAACAAGTGTAATTAAAGTTATCAATTAAACAAGCACTATAGAAATCCTTGAATGGACCACAGTGCTCAATATAGTAAGGACGTGGCTGGTATTTAAGTGTGAATGATTCGAATAATTGCAACGTATAGTCAAAGAAAACTTCAAAGAGCTTTTTTAGAGTTCACAAAATTTATGTATTGTAGTGTGTTAAATATACAGACTATAGTATATTCCAGTACGTTTTGCACACTTTTTTGGCTTAGAAATTTCACCACTTCGGTCAAACTGTTGTTTACTTTTACATTTCGTAAAATGTTGTTTTATGCTGCATGGAAACAGCTTTCTTACCTTTCTACTACCATTTTGCTAGAGAATTAACCTCCACGTTATATTCGCATTTTATAGGGATAGAAATACTGTGGAACAATCTTTAACTCATGATTGGACACAGGTAAATATTTCATCAACCCACATTAACCCATTAAAGCGCAAGACTCTCCCGTTGGCGTTAGTCAGAATAAAATCATCTGTCGTTAGACAGGGTAGACTGTAAAAATCGTGTACCAAATAACACAAATCACACTGACTCATATAACATAATTGGAATATTAAATAATAACTATTTGATAAAATTTAAGCTAAAAAAGTATGCAATATATACCAAGCAATACAATAATATATGTTTCTGTACTGTAACAAAAGTGCACCATTAAAACATTGTTTTGAAAACCTAGTTTTTTTACAAAATGTGTTCTCAGAATGCTGCAAATGCCATTTCCGGGATCCCCCGAACCCCCCTACAATTCTTGTGCCTTCGGCACGAGCCCCCCCCCCAATATTTCATAAAGTGTCCGCCACTGGGTAAAATAATGAAGTAGGGGCTAGGGCGCATTCGGGCCCATTGCAGCGTAATGGGTTGAGATTCGTACTACTTCACGTAGTTTGAATATTTCGTTCTTGTTTTGTTCACCAGAAAGCACCTCGTTTGGAAATGAAAAAACTAAAGACGGATAACTTGAAAAAATTCTTAGCAAGACGGAGATGGGCGGTACGTAATTAAAATTCAGGTTGATTTAAGAGAGATATTACTTTTATCTTCTCTTTAAAGCGTCATAAGTTAATGTCTCAAATTTATCGATCCACCGTCCAGAAACAATTGCCAAAACCTGCAATATCCCAAGGAGGTCATGCGAACGAAATTGACTGTTTTTTGTTCCCATTTAATCTTGTACTTTTTTTATCAGTACGCACCTTTCAATCTCATGACAAGCTTATACTAAAGTGATATACCATTGAAAAATTGAAATGGTTGAAAACACCAAATTCATGTATTTTCTCGTCACAAATTACTATAAACAGATTAGAGACGTTCAAACACCATAAATTTTGGCAAATCTTGATATGTTAAACAAATGAGAAACGCTCCGGAGAACGTTCTGATATTTAACAGACCTTGGCTACCTGGAAGGTGCTCTACATATTTTTCAAACCTTGTTATATCCAATGTTAACGCCAAATTAACAGGATTTTGAGCATCTCACTCAATAGAGATAAATGTCGAAGGTTTTTTGTAAATGGAAATTTCTAGTATAAATTTTTATACATTTTGAGACCTAACCTTGCCGGATACCCATGGCTATGATGTAATGATTCAAATCCGACTATGAGGATTGGACTAGATTTCAAGGACATCTATCTTGAAGTCTATTCCAGTCCTCATAATTGGATTTGAAATGACATCTCATACGAATAAATCAATACTTAATTAAAGTGAGGTGAATTAATTTTGATCCAATCCAAGGACTGAATTAATTTTGATCAAGTCCAAGGACTGAATTAATTTTGATCAAGTCCTCTGACTGGATCAGTATGCTTAACCAGGTATCCAGTATTATCATGTGAGCAAAATAAAACAATATGATTGGCTAATATACTCATATATTATTAATGAGTTTGAGATATACTAACCTAATATACATGGTTAATGTCTAGAAAACAGGAAATGCTCTACGTGCTCTTACAAAACTTGGTTCACTAAGTCTAAAGAAAGCAAAATAGCTGAAATAATTGCTTTTCTTTTGGTTTCTCACTACGTGGACTGGAAGGAAATGTTTGCTTCATGTGTGGAGCTGGAAGTGACCGAAGAGAAAGAATTTTCAATGTTTGAACATGAAATGGAAGGACGGTGGAATCTCTAAATAATAATAATAATTTGTGACGGTTAAAATTTGTAAATATGTCAAATTATTCAGGGGCTGGGCCAACAAAATTAGAAATGAACAGCAATTTTTGTATTTTATCTATGGATAAAAACTCTTCAAATAATTTGACAATCAATTTTTAAAATATATATATATATATATATATATATATATATATATATATATATATATATATATATATATATATATATATATATATATATATATATATATAGATAGCGAAGTCAACATATAACTTTTCCGATTTAATTTTTTTCAATTAATTAAAATGTTCAATTTTAATATAATAAATATACTATGTTAATTATGTAAATTAAAATTTATATTACACTGTTACTTGAGGGGTATACTTGGAAGTATAATTATTCGGTGGGACTTGGGAATCATTAGTAGGTGGGATTGGAAACCATTAGTAGGTGGGACTTGGAGTGGGACTTGGCGACCATTAGTAGGTGGGATTGGAAACCATTAGTAGGTGGGACTTGGCGACCATTAATAGGTGGGACTTGGGGACCATTAGTAGGTGGGACTTGGGGACCATTAATAGGTGGGACTTCGGGGAAACAGCTCCTAGACCAACATCAGAAGCGTCTGTTTGCAATACAAATTTTCGGTCAAAGTCTGTGTAACATAGTATTGTTACGGAGCAAAGTAATTGTTTCAAAGGCCGCAGTCCAAACGGAATTATTGTTGTTCTCCTTTGAAGTGAGTTTCGTCAAAGCTTGAGCAACAGTTGCGTAATAATATATATATATATATATATATA